ATATTCCAGCCATAGTTCTAGCCACATTTATGTTGCACGATTTACTCGTTGATTTATAATCTCCATGTTTAACAATGCAATTTTGAATTTGACCATACATTAATTATGCATATTGTTAAAAATTATGAAAAGCGCAACACTTATTAATCTGTCACAGGTAATGAATGATAAATTATAGTTTTGTTCAGTGCATCACTTCATCTTAATAGTATTATTATTATTATCATAGATAACCAAAAATGATATAATTAAATGCTTGTCTTGATATATAATTGATATATAGTATCGTTATGCGCGTAATATGAAAATGCTATTGATTGAAAAAAATGAGATTTAGACAGAAAACTGTTCATTTTTTTCGAATTGAACGACAACTATTCATTTTAAAAACCTTACTTTACCAATTTCGCATATTAATTTGGAGAAAAGTTGTAAAAATCGCAGATTGGTATATAATAGCTAGAAGAACTTTTGTTGTAATCCTTGCGACTTGTGTATTCCCTTTTATTTATCAAATGCTCAATATTAAATATGATTATATTAGTAGATTAGTTGCGTAATAAAGAATTGGCAATCTTTATAACAAAGTTCGTTAGTTAATTTAAGTTCTACAATAAAAATTCTCTTTAATAAATTTACTAATTAACTCTCGACATAGTAAATTTTGAGATTTTCTTTAATTGAACAGACACTATTTCAATTTTATCTCTTATATGATGCAAAATTGCTTATGGCAGAATTTCCTTCTAGCTTTACATGTATTATATTCATTAGCGATTATTTCTATTGTAATAATAGGACAATATTCTTAATGGTAAAAAATATATAGTCAAATCTATTTATAGTCACATTTTTGTATAAGATAATGTGATTTAACTTTTGACAACCGTTTTTCATTCTCATCCGCACTATGTCATATTTACTAATAATATTAATACATAAGTTTGTGTTTTTTTCTGATTCTTAGCATCAAACACCGCTCAACAAAACACATTCACGTTATCGCCGTTGCAACCAGTAAGCAAATAATAATAAAATTAATCAACGTCTCATCTCCAGCAATGGATAAGTCATGTTCTTATCATCATATCATTCTTACAACTTATACTGAAAGTCACTTCCATGTGTAGAATACGTTCATGTGATTTATTTATCTTCAGTGACAATTCAAATCTCTTTATTCAAGCAAGGAATTCTCTCGGGTCGGCCAACTTAATATTGATTACGGACGACTTCCTAGGACAATTCAAGATGGGCGTAAATTGGATGATCGGTCAGTCCATTTCCACCATATGATACGTTGTTGAGGCATATTGAAAGCGAGGGGTATTATATAATTCTGTTCGAAGGGAATCGTAGCAACCGCGAGAAAGTCGTTACTGAAATCAAAGTCCGAATTGTTAGAACTGTTTGCAAGAAGAACCCTGCTGTAATCGCGTATATTCCCGACTTTGGTCCCCCAATAAGGGAGGCTCTTGAGGCAAATTGGACAGTCGAATTCAGTTATTGGGATTCAGGTGTATAACAATGATCGATTATTTTGAAGAACAAATCTGTGCTTTTTTGAACAAAAATCTGGAAACTTTTCGTATGGTAAGTGGATCTGCTATTTCGCGACGAAAGTATCTCACCCTCCCCAGGAGTCTCTTATGAACTGCTGAGTGATCACTGGATCATTAAAAAGCGCCTAAATGCATACAATAAGTTCGCGTATAACCGACCATCAAACGATACTCAAGGGATGTAAATTCTTAAACTCATCAACGATAAATACGGACATGGTGATGGATTGTTTCTTCAGATGAACATACTTGGTTGTTGGAGCCAAACCGCAGAATCCTTGTTATTGCATTTTACTGATTCGAGAAAATTGAATACGATGGTTGGAGACACTGTCCTGAAGTATGGATTGAGCAACAGACCAGAAGAAAAAATTTGGGACAGTGTTAACATGGGCTCGCACTAGCTCTATCAGATGACAGGCCTTTCGCATACGATGTATAACAGACTTAAAATATATTTAACACTGTTATTAATAAAACAATAATATTATGATTGTGAACTATTCTTTGCGTACACGTGATTTACTGTGTATCTTACAATTTTTACATATGAATGAACGCGTGTAATAAATTCAAGTTCGCACCAAAATGTCTGGATAAAACATATATACTGATTATGTTATCGGATAGACTGTGCCTGCAAAAGCATTTGTTGGAGGACAAGTTGAAGTCTATGGTTCGAAGATCAATAGCGAATGGAATTCCATCGAATCTCATTTTAAAATGATCAAGAATCTTATTATTAAACAGTTCACTTTGTTAGTAGAATGCGTGGGAAAAAAGATTAAAAAATAATCACTGGTGTTTGATGCAATGATTTAGTCAGCATTATTTATGCCAAATCGATGATATGTGGGAATAAAGTCAAATATAAAAGTAGCCGTAGTCAATTTGTTTGAATTATAGAACCCAAAATAAAATACTATTTAAAGCTATATTACTATTCTAGTTTTATAAAAAAAATGAGCGACGAAACCGTCGGAAAGATAAAATCAGGTGCGCAGAGAACCAAAGATTCTATTAAGCAAGCCATTACAAGCGATGAAGGTGTATTCGGAACATTTAATTACTTGAAGCAACCTGCCTACGAAATTTATGCTACAATCGCAAAATTCTTTCCTCCGCTTGCTTGGTTTTTAGTCGGCGCCACGGCATTAAATGCTGCTCCCGTTGCTTTAATGCTCGGTTGGCTTGGAATTACGACGCTTATCTGTTTTGCGGTTGCGGGTGGATTCATCTTTTTTGTGGAAGGATTCTTTTTCTTGCTGGGTAGCGGAGTTATATTGCCAGTCATTGCGTTTGCTATGTTTTCGGCATTTGTGACATTTTTGTTTTTGGCGGGTATGTATGGCGTGTTTCGGTTGATGAGAGGAGCTTTGTGGGCTATTGGAATTATTGGTAATGGCGGAATGATCCCGTTTGGGGTGGATGAAGAAGCTGAAGAAAATCCTGCAGAATAGAGGCAACGAAATCCTTACTTATCATTTATTCTAATTTACATACATGCACTATATTGTTATATTTATACTATATTATATTACATTATAGTATAATATATTATATAATAGTATAGCATGCATATTTTTAAATCTGTCATTTTCCAACAAGCAATATCTACAAATATTAATAGAAAAAATTCCGTGTTATTCTTTTGTTTCCTCTTCAACTGAAAGTGTTTAATTTTGAATAAAAATTACTTGATCAATTTGAATCTGTTAAAAATAGAAGTTAATATATTCAAGAGATAAAAAAGACAAGAGATTCTTATTATTAATTCACACTATTTTGGAAAGAGCGATTATTTATAGTGACGCTGTACGCGTGCGCGGATCAAAGAGACGGCCGAGAAAACTTAATATATAAACGAGGAAAAAAACAGCGGATCGCACATATAGGTATTACGCCTGCCCGCTCATCAAAGATCTATCCTCGTAATCGGGACTATTTCTACATTTTTCGCTCTCCCGCATCTCGTGACATTGCTTGGACCAATGCGTAATAAATCTAAATGGAAACTTCGAAAATGAGTCAAACAGATTACCGAACCTCATGGGATGTACCCTCGGATTTATACCCGGGTGTTAGATAAATTAATATCTATAATTTTTTAAGCTTCTAAAAAAGCCAAATTTATTGATGCATTCGGCGTATAATTCTCATTTAAAGAGCTTGGCTAAAACTTCGTAGCCCTCATATAACAGAATTCTTTGATAAAATAATAATTTAACAAAATTTAATGTAATGAAAATAAAATAAATCAGAAGAATTATTATGTACAATCCAAATTATGAGTTCTTTTTGCGAGAACAGGTTAACTATAATTCGGAATTAGAAGAGGGGACATAATTAATATCTTGGAAGCACAAGGTAGGAATTATAGGATTTTTCTTTTTTTGGGGGCAGCATTAATTTTGATACTACAAAGTAGGAAATTTTTGTGGGATCTGGGAGTTGACGTTAATGAGACGTTAATGGCACAAAGGAATTTATGGATTATCGGTTTTAAGTTTTTGTTAAACATTACTAATAGGAATACAAAGCTTCGTATTATTGCAGAATATTCCGTAATTACGGAACTTGACAATAATATATAGAACAAGGGTTTTTATCTTTATTTGAGAATAAAAACAAAATAAAATTCAATAATTATTGTCATTCTCAATTTCTTCTCCATCAATATCATTGAAAATCAATACCTCTTCAGTATTTTTCTCAAAATTTCATAATCAAATATCAAATCATCCTCTGGTCCATTCATTTTTATCAAGATGCTGCAATACTTAAATGAAATGCTTCTAATTAAATGAAAATCAACTTCATTTCATGATTCTTTATTTAATGAGCTAATATAAAATATGATAATTTTCAAATATATTTAAACTAATAATTCTCATTAATATTTATTAATTATAATAGAAATAAATCTAATAAATTTAAAATACTTTATTATGTTTTAGAATAAGAAAATATTTTAATATATTTCTTGGAGCTTTTATTAAAATATCAAAAGCTATAACTTTAGTTGAATATTTTTTCTTCAAATTATTATATATAAAATTTGTCAAGTGATTTTTAAAGAAATTTAAAACAAGAAAAGATTATAGATTTTCTAATTAATTATACTTAATTCAAATATTATTAATTTAATATTATATTTTATATCTATTATATTATTCTTTTTTATTTACTTTAATAATAATATCTTGAAAAAATATTTTTTCAAAAGTAACTAAATAAAATATATTAAATAATAAAAATATTTTATTTATATTTTTAATTTATTTAATAAAATAATTATATTAATAATATTTAAATAAAATAAAGTTTAAGAATTTTTTTTAGTAATCAATTTATAAAAAAATATTATATAATTATTATATATTAATTATTTAATAAATTATTTTAATTTGAAATTTATTTAATTAATTATTTGAATTTTAAAATTATTAATATTAAAATAAGTATTTTTATTTATTAGTTTAAATTAGTATTCTAATCTCTTTAATAAATATATTTTGTAATATAATTATTTATTTTAAAAAGTTTTTTAATTATATAATAGTTTTTCTTTTAAAATAAATATTAAATTTATTAATTATAATTAAATATTAAAATATAAAATATAAAATATAATATTGAAAGTTTTTATTTTTTATTTTTTAATTATAAACTTATTTGAATTTAAGATTAAATATTTTATAATAACTTTTATTTTTTAAATATATTTAAAATAATATATAATTATTTTTAATTCAAGAATAATAATCTTGTTAATAATATATATTTTTTATAATTTTTTATAAAGATATTTTTAATATATTTTAAAAAAAATTTATATATAATTAAATTTTTTTTCTTTATAATTTTTTATAATTATATTTTTTAAATTTTTCAGTTATTAATTAGTTATAATTAAAAAATTTTTTTATAATTATATCTCTTTATAGTTATTTAATTTTGCTTTTTAAATATAATAATTATAAAATAATTTGATTATATTAAAAAATTTTTATTTTATTTATTTAATAAGTAGTTAAAAAATAAAAAAATCTGATTAACAAGTTATTAAAATATTAATTCTAGAATAATATTTTATTTAAATAATTAAATTTTTAAAAATAATATAAATATAATAATAGATATTTTCTAATAAATATTATTTTTAATTAAGAATTATAAATTATATAAATAAATACTTTAATTAATAATAATAATTATACTAATATATAATTTGGTATAAGAAGATTAATATATTAATATAAAATTAATAATTATTTCTAATAAAAATCATTCAAATTTTAACTAATCTTTATAATTTTTTATATTAAAATAATCTAAATTAACTTTTTATACTATTTTAATTATTTTATTATACTTTAATTTATAATAAATAAAGTATTACTTTACTAAAAAACTAAAATAAAATTATTTTTTTTAAAAAAATATTTTAAATATTATTACTATTAATTTATAATATTAAAATTTTAAATTATACAAACAGATTATTCTAAATTTGATAAATATATATTCTAAATTTTATAAAAATTGAATTAGTAATTATAATTTTATTTTTAAATAAATTCTAATATTTAATATTAATTAAATAAGACAAAATTAAAATTTTATTTTAAAAAAATAATTTATTAATATTTATTTAATATACTAATCTTTTTTATATCAAATCATATATACTTATATATTTTCTATAAAATATTTTGAATACTAAATTAAATTGTGAAATTATTTAGATATTTATATTTGATTTTTATAATAATATTTAATAAATAATATTTAATCCTTGTAATTTTATTATTAATTATTTTAATTATTTTTTAACAAGTTAATATCTTAATTTTAAAGTAATTTTTTAATAATTATTATCTCTTAATTTATATTTTAGACAAATTTATATATAATTTTAATAATTTTTTTTTATTATAATAATATTTATAAGTAATTAATTCCCTTTAAAATATATAAAAATAAAATAAAAAAAATTTTTTTTTCTTTTAAAATATATAATTTATTAATCTTTTCAATATAAAAATTCATTCTTTTAAGTTGCTAATCAATTCTTTAATAAATTTATTGAAAGATAATTTTTTACTATTTGCATTACAATATTTTGAATTTATTGATAATTAATAATTAATGAACTAGAGATAATTACTATTAATTAATGAGTTTTTTACAATTAATTATCAATAAAAAATTAATTTTTATCAAAAATAAATGCCAAAAAAAAATTGGTCACTTTGCAAACAGAATATCTTGATATTTAATAATTTAATTCAGAAATATTATATTCATCTCATCTTGATGAGACAAATTCAATGGTAACATTTTTATATGAATTAGATCATTAATATAGCAAGATATCGTATTGCAGAGATAACTGAATTATTTTTTGTTGATCTGTTCCCATTCATGAGAGGTCATATTATTTTCATTGACGACTTGTGATGTAGAAAGAGTAGTTGGCACGGAAATAATATGTGATGCTGCATTTGCAGCTGAAGGTGCGCTCTGTTCCGGTGTAGATTTATTTCTTGGCTTAATTGGATATACACGCCATCTTTTGGATTTGTTTATTTTAGGTGCTTTTGGGAATAATAAGTCATGTTTCTTCTTTGCCTCGTTGGAAATTTTCTTGTATTCTTCTTTAACAAAAGATAATTCCTGTTCCCAGGCTTGCGAGGCCATCGAGGAAATCACCGTCATTGGGAGTTTATATCCATTAGCTGAAGCAGACTTCATAAACGCTCCACGGTAAAGAATGAAAGCATTGGGTGGCCTTGTTGGATTAGTTCCATCTGGTCTTTTGCCGAAACTATCGTAAGCCTCTATCACTGGGGGGAAAGGAGGTCTAAACATTAGACCGGTATCACTGTGGGTAATTTTTCGTGTCGAGTCACTCGGATCAATAAAGATTATTGGACGAGTGGCTATGCTAGAGTTATCAGTTTCGTTAATCAAAGAGTTCATTTCTTTTGATCTGTTTGAGTTTTTTAAACCTTTGAATTTTATTCGTCTGAATTCTTAATCAAGGCGTTCACCACTATTTATGACGTTTCGAGCGTCGATCCTTTTTTTGTTCCCCATTCTGCATAGAAACCGAAAACTCGGTCACGTATGGCATGTACATGTATATGTATGCATAATGAAATATTCTAGTCTCTAGCCATATTTATGTTGCACGATTTTACTCGTTGATTCATAATCAATGCGATTAAATTTAAACGTGCATTAGTTTTATGAAAAAAATTCTAGTGCCTCTAACCTCGATTAAATGTACCTGGTCCTTATACTCATTTTAAAGCTAACAACCTAGAGAATGTCTAAAAAGGGCCTAAAAATATATTAATAATGCCATTCTAAAGAAAATAAGTGATTTACATGGATATTTTTAATTCGTGAAATTTTAACTCCAAATAGTTTTGTTACCAGGAAGGTTTGAAGT